GGGGTGGGAAGGGGAGGAGGAAATAAAGTGGGGGTGGGGTGTCTGGAACTTAGGCCTGCCTCCCACCACCCCAACCCCCGCCCCGCGGCCACCTTCCGCCCTGTAATTGGCCGCCCGCTGCCTTCCTTTCCTCTTATCTGATCCAGGGCGCCTGGCGGAGGGAAGCGCTGGAGAGGAGGCGGCGGCTCCGGGCGCGCGAGTGGGAGCCGGGGCGGGAGAGGGTGTGAGAGAGGGGGAGAGGCTAATTAAAAGGGGCGCCAGGCGGGAGGCGGGAGAGAGCGGTGCGCTTCCACGAAGCAGCTCGCGGCGGAACTCGGATCTCCCCTAGGCACCAAGAGGTCCCCAACCTGGGCTGGAACCTTGCCCTGCACAGGTCAGTTCCAGCCTTTCTCTGCCCTTCCTCCGGTTGGCTTTGAAACCGCTCTTGGTGAGGTAGGGGGTGGGGACGGGGCGAGCGCCCTGCGGACGCAGTGCAGACGGACCTTCGCTGCGCGCGCCCTGGATGGCCCGAGACCTTTGGGCGGGGTGAGACCGTGCACCCCGAAGCCTCCTCGCGGGGTCACTGCGCGGGGAGATTGGACGCGCTGCGTGAAGCGAATGCAAAGCCAGTGGCGATGCCTTGCCCTGCTCCCGGGAGCGTTTCTCTGCGCTTGGGTGCTGTGACCCTGCGGCGGGAAGAAGAGGGTCTAGCTTGGAGACGGCGGCGACACCAGCATTTCCAAGCAGAAGAGGCTTATTAGTAAAGGCAGCAATCTGGTGAAAAGGGGCTTAGGGACTTGTCTTGGGGAGCTGTACGTAAATAGAAAGCACACTGTTTTTATTTAGGTTGTATTGGGGATCGCTCGGGAGAGCAGTTGATGGAGATCATGGGGGACAGCTCACCCAGGCACTCCTTGGTACCGCCTCAGATTAGCGCTGGGGACCAGGCACTGAGGCAAAGAGGACCTCCAGACGGCNTTTATTTAGGTTGTATTGGGGATCGCTCGGGAGAGCAGTTGATGGAGATCATGGGGGACAGCTCACCCAGGCACTCCTTGGTACCGCCACAGATTAGCGCTGGGGACCAGGCACTGGAGGCAAAGAGGACCTCCAGACGGAGCGCTTTGACGTCGGATGCTGGCGGTGGCTGCGCTGCGACTCTGAGCCTCGGGAAAGACAGATGTTTCGCGCGTTTTGCTTCGGGTGCAGCTTTGAGATGCTCCACTAGGCTGTGTTGTTGGAAGGTCCTCTCTGCCCCGGCTCCCCCACCCCTCACCTCCCCCCATTTCAGCCCACGGGACCCCTCCTGCCTCAAGCCTCCTAGTGCGCAGTGTCCACAAGCAAGACAGGTCAGGGCCCGGCGCAGAGGAGCCCGCGTGGGGCCCCTGGAGTGGCTCCATCCTGGGTCAGGCTGGGCACAGCCCGAGTGTCCAGACCACGGGCGCTCAGCTTTAGGAGCTGGGTTCTTGGGTCCTCTGTGCGAAGCGCGCCCTCTGGCGTGTGAGCTCAGGGTTGACCTGGGGTCGCCCCTTCTGCTTAGACTTGTGCTTGGGGAAAGTGCCCAAATGGGGCTTGTGTGCATTTCTCACGGAGGCCTGTATTTCCCCCTGAGAGTTGCTTCTGGAACTGCTACCCAGAGCCCCACTCCCTTTGGAAGTTTTGGACTCCCTTCTGGAAGTTTCTGAGTCTGCTGCTGGCAGCAGCTGAAAGAGATGGGAGGGAACAGGAACAAAGAAATATGGGTATAAGACTTTGGTGGCTCTGTAGGGAGCAGAAATGGAAAGGAGTTTTCCCGAAGTTCCCCTATTAAAGGCTCTGGGGCTCCTCAGCTGCGGGGGGCGGATGGGAGCACCTCCGAGCAGCAGCAGCATGTGATAAAGGCCTGGCTAAAATTCAGCACAGGGGCTTAAGCTGGGTGCAGAGAGGAGAAATGGCTTCTGACCGGTGGCCCACTTCTACACACAGAGAACTTGCTGGTAAATTTAGATGAGTGAGTGAATAAATGAGTGAATGAATGGGTAGCATTTGGATTTTTGATTCTGAAAGAGCAACTTGGAGGGATTTCCTCTGAACATGGCCCCAATATGTGGTTACTCTAAGACAAGCTTTAGGGTGGTATTTTTTTATTTTATTATTATTTTTTAATCCATACCTGAGGACATTTTTCCATTGCTTTTCAGAGAGAGTGGGAGGAAGAGGGAGAGAAAGATAAAAAAAACATTGATGCCTCCCGAACATGCCCCTACAGGGCCAAGCCTGAAACTGAGTTACTTGCCTGTGGCTGGAATTGAACCCAGGACGGTTCAGTCTGCAGGTCAGTGCTCTAACCACTGAACAAAAACAGCTAGGACAAGAGTAGTATTTTTTTAAATAGCTTTATTGAGATATAATTAATATCCATATAGGTGTACCATTCTGTGTTTTTTAGTTCACAGAGTTGTACAACTATCACCACCATCAATTTGAGAACATTTTTATCGCTTCAAAAAGAAAACCTGTACCTGTTAGCAGTAACTCCCCATTTCTTCTCCACCTGCTCTCCCCCACCCCACCCAGCCCCTGGCAACCACTAATCTACTTTCTGTTGACATTTCATATGAATGGAAGCATGCAATATGTGTGTGGTCCTTTGTGACTGGCTTCTTTAACCTAGCAAAATGCTTTCAAGGTTTACCCATAATGTTCAGGATACTCTCTAGGGAAACACTGGGCAGGCATCTCCTCATGCCTGGGGAGCCCTGAGCCGGGACCTGAGTCTCCACTGCAGCCCTGACCTCCTGAGGGTCCCGTTGGAAGGATAGGAGTGACACTGGTGATGCTTCACAGTAATTCCCTAGGTAGGATTAATTGGAACCCATTGGAATTCCTGGAGCAGTTTTGGGTGGGTCCCAAGCTTCTGGGTTGATGGGAGGAGCCCTTTGGCACTTGTCCTGCTGCTAGGGGTCCAGCTGAGGATTTCAGAGAACTTTTGGGCCTTCTGTGCATGACTTGGTTTTCAGAACCAGCCAGGGCTGGCCTTAAGAATGGGCTGAGCAAGCTGGTGTTGTTTGAGTGGCACTGGGGCAGCCCCGTCCACCAAAGAGGCCCTTTAGAGGTGTGTTCCCTCTGGCTTTTAAACACTTCCTCATGCCACTAAGTAAAACACAAACACATGCACACAAAGTGAAACACAAAACCTATTTTCAGCTGACAGTCTCTGCAGTTACATGACTCTGGAGGCACATTTGCTGTCATTTAATCCAAACGCAGCCAAATGAACTGCTGTTTCCTGGCCCTTTGAGTGTAACGTAAAATTCCTTTCAAGGACAAGGTCCTGCCTGAATTGCTGCAGGCTGAGGTGGTGCTGTTTGAGCATCACTGAGCTAACAAATTATCTGGGATTAGGACAGTTTGTATAGAACAAGGTCGTTGGTAAATGCACTGGATTTTTCCTGGGGGGAACAGAGAGGCCAGCCAGGTGGGAGGAGGGGGTAGGTAAGAGGAAAGTGACAAAAACAAACTTCATTAGTGCTGCATGTCAGGAAAACAATCTCTTCTTGCTCCTTCTGTAACTAAATAAGAAGTGGCAGGGATCCAGTTACTCTTCCATATAAAATAAGCCTTGAATGAACATCAGACCTCATCCTGTTCCAGTGGAGTTCCAGTGTGTGTGTGGGGGGGGAATTGCTGGCTTTTTTTTTTTAGAGCCTATTGAGTATCTGCCCTTGCCTCTTCAGAAGCACACGTGTTTCCCACTTAAGAGATCACTAAGCTTCAGGGATATAAACTGCTTTGCCTAGAATCACAAAACCAGCAAGCAACGGCTACCTGATTAAGAAAAGTGTAATGAGATTTGAACTCATCCCGTTGGACACAGTCTCCATCAGCTTCTTGGAGGACCGTGGGGGAGGGGTGTGTGACTGGAAATGGATGATGTCCCCTGAGGCCACACAATCTAGTAGGTGAAGCAGGATGGGAGGCAGACAGATATGGGTGAAAGCTAAAACCGGCTCCTCCTGTGCTCTACCCATGTTCCTTAATGTCGCCTCATCCAGAAAATGGGGAGAATGGTAGCCACGTTATAGGGTTGTTTTAAGATCTAAGATCATCTAGAGCAGAGCCTGGAACACAAAAATGCTCACGCTTGTCTCCTGCCTCTTTTTCCTTTCCACTTTTTTTTTTCTCTCTTCCCTCTTTCCCTCTCTCTCTCTCTTTTTTTTTGCAGGGATTATGACAAGAAAGGAGATGGGAAGTTCTGAGATCTGAGTGTCTATTTAAATCAGGACTCAGAGTCTAGACTCCCTGTTTCTTCAAGGCAATTCTTTACCAATGTTCTTGGTGAACTTTTCTGCCAGTTGGGCATTTGTCAGTGGAGCTAGCCTCGCAGGTGTCCCTGACTCTGGATTTTAGGGATCGGTGCTTGGTCTCTTTCCTTCCAGAAATTATCGGAGTTATTTATGAAAACTGATCCAGAAGAAGGCTGGGCTTTGCTGAGTTGGTCCGAGTATCTCAAGATGTGTCTATAACTAGGGCTACTCGGGGGACCCTGTATTGGAAAAAGATCTGCTCCTGGGTGGTTTTATGTCTGATTTTGTAGAGAGGATCTCACTGAACTGATATCTAAAACTGATGTTCTCCTGCGGGTTGGTTTTTGCTTCCATTCTTCCTCCGCTTCCCAGTCTTGCCTCCTGCCATGTACTAAACCGTGCTAAGCGCTCCGAATGCAGTGGCGAGTAACGCACCTCGGTAGGTAGAAATGCAAACAGCCAGTCACAATGCAGTGTTTAGTGCTTCAGAGTGGAACATAAAGGTTGCTGCTGACGGAAACACAGGAGGAGCGTCTGGCCCAGACTTGGAAGATCAGAGAAGCCTGTGCAAAGGATGAGATGTGTGGCTACCCTTTGTGCTGCTTAAAGATGTAGAGATTTGTATAGGTAAAAGCCATTCCCCATGTCTTTGACCTAGGAGCTATGTCAGTCCTTAAAAGAAGAGAGAAAGAAAAAAAAAAAAAAACCAGGCGAGGGAACATTCCTGAGTTAAGGAGCTGTCACTTCAATTTGCCATCCTTTGGGGATGGTTTAGCCTTCTGTGGTGCAGGACTTAGAGCATCTAGTTTAAGACTGAGCAGCTGCATTTCTGAGGCTCATTTGCAGTCAAATCCCTTCTATTTGAAAAATTCATAGGGCTGTGCTTAACCTCCATAGGTCTTTCTGTGAATTAGAGAAAGGTGGTTCCTCTTGGGAGGCCTATGCCATTGGGAGAAGAAAACAGCACCCCTTGGCCAGGCCGGCATGGCTCAGTGGTTGAGCATTGACCTAGGATCCAGGAGATCGAGGTTCATTCTGGTCGGGTCACATGCTTGGGTTGCGGGCTTGGTCCCCAGTCAGGGGCGTGCAGGAGGCAGCCAATCAATGACTCTCTCATCATTGATGTTTCTCTCTCTCTCCCTCTCCCTTCCTCTCTCTGAAATCAACGAAAACATGTTAAAAAGAAAACAGCACCCCTTCCTCCGGATAACACAGCTTTACATACAACTTTGAGAGCATAATATCTGCCAGTTTCCAGCATCACTCACCCTAGGCCAGGTGCAGATTGTGCAGTGCAACTGTGGACTGTACACATCACCCCAAACATTCAATTTCCAGTCATTAAACCCCCCGATATTTATTTGCCTGTTATGGACTTTGAACCTTTATTTATTTGTTTACTTTGTTAATCTTCACCAAAGGATATTTTTTCCAGTGATTTGTAGAGAAAGTGAAAGGGAGGAGAGAGAGAGAAACATCGATGTGAGAGAGACACATGGACCGATTGCCTCCCACATGTGCCCTGACCAGGGCTGGGGATTGAACCTGCACCCCAGGTACGTGCCCTTGACCGGGAATTAAACCCTAGACCCGTGTGCAGTGGGGAGTTCGCTCAGGGGAAAGAAGGCTAATCACCAAGCTAACAGCAACAAAACTAGGTCATAATTCCTAACTTAGATATGTTTTGTACTATGTCATGATGTTAACAGATAAGGTAATAGCCACTAACCCTTTAGCGCTTGTTTTTAGGTCAACCGCATTAGCTAATCCTGAAAACCCTTTTGATTATTTGGGACATGAGGGTGATAGTTTTCATTAAAGAAGAGACATTCTGGGCTGATTCATTAGACCTGTTTTTAGTCTTTGCTTTCTTATCAGCAAATCTGTATGACCTAGATCATCAACTGACTATAAAATTCTCCTTCTATAAAGTGGATTTTAAAGTTTTAACAATGTAGAGTTGGGGAAGATGTCATTTTGTCCAGTTCCTCTGCCCACAAATTCAGGAATCCCTTGATAACATATCTTACATGGATATAACTTAACCTGCTCCTGCCTGGGAACTTCTAGTAAAAGAGAAGCACCTATTCTAAGTGTTAGAGAATTTTTATATTCAAACCCATGTTTCTGTGGATTAGTCCAGTGATCCAAGTTCTATTTACAGCACCTGACAAAATAATCTTGTGTTACCTTCCACATGAAAGCTCTTCAAATATTTGAAGACCTCTATTATATGCCTTATTTTCCTTAGGCTTAATTAAAATGTGCTTAAAACATTCTCTTTTTTTTTTTCCAGATCTTTGCATGAACTTGTCAACTAGACCTGCTAAGTCTTTTTCTAAATCTATGAATTGCTCTTAAGTCAAATCTCCCATATCTTCCTCTGGTTGATTATTTTGAACCAATGAAGCTGTCATCTGGAAAGTGATAAAAATGGAAAGGAATGTATTTAGAAAAGTTGTCATCCACCCATGCAAATCCTGTGCCTCTGTCATTCTCTGGGTCTTCGTTTTTTGCCTAAACCTTTATGCCAAGTTAGTCCCAAAGCCTTAACAAGATGGGAGAGATAAGAACTTTTTATTCCTTCCTCCTTTACTAGCTACTCAAGTAGCAAATCCATTGGTGATGATCATTCCCTTTTCCTTTGCATTCTTTCAACCCATTGCTAACGTGCTACTTAGTACATTTTGAGAGCTGTGTTCTAAGTACATTAATATGATCACAATAATTCTATAAGGTACATGTTAATTTGCACATTTTATTGAAAGAGAAACCAAGTCATAGAATGGTTAACCCAGTTAGTCAAGGACCTCTAGCAAATTATTGGAGGGACTGTCTTCCTAACTCCCACGTTTCTATTTATATATTGCCACCTCGAGCTCTCTTTTCTGTTTCATACGTAACTTCATTTAGCTTTGCCACGTATTTACTTACGTTCTTCCTTTTCAATAAAATTGAAAGTGAGCTGACTGGAGACAGGGATCAGATAGTATGAACTTTTGTATCTTCTTTAGTACCAAGTAGAGAGCTTTGGTTATATAGTAAGGCTCTCAATAAGTGATTGTTGGAGTGAGAATGTAATACTATAAATAATCTCTCTCAGTGCCTGGTATGCCAGATGGCTAGCTTCAGTTTTGTTTAAGTTTATAGTTTTTTTGTAAGTCAGCGCTGATTGAATAGAACATTATCCAAGGTTTGGGTGTGTATATGTGTGTAAGTCTACGCATATGTGTGCTCGCGCATGTGTATGAATGGTTTACGAAACTTTAGAATAAATATTTTAAGGAATTTTGATAAAATGAGCTGCACTCAGGGCTTCTTGTTAAATTCAACTGTACAAATGAGATTAAATAAAACAAACATATGAAGTAGAGGAAGGGTGAATTCGCCCTAATGAGGATAGTTTTAAATTACTGATTATAGAATGGCGACAGTGTTTTGAGAAAACTCGTACTAAACAATATCAACTTTACCCAAATTGGTTTATACCTTCTGAACTCAGAGCTAAGTAGCCATTTCTCTCATAATGTTTTAAACCAAAAAAAAAAAAAAAAAAAAAGGCATTTGTTTTGTGCAGGCTTTTGGGCAAAGTTTCAACAAATTAGACTGACATTTTGGTCCATGTTAGACTATGTCAGGGCACTTTTATAGGAATTGGGATTTTTCTTGCCCCTATTTCACTGTCCAAAAATTTGGAAACTTGGCAGAAAACCTTGGGAAAACTCAAATCTACTTCTCCCAATATGGTATTACTCATCTTAATTTAAAATAAACAACAAAGAAGGGGAAGAATTTAAAGATAAGCTATGGCTACAAGACATAATACTCATTTAAAAAAAAAAAAAGTTGCCAAGACTCGTATAGCACTTATTTATTTACTTATTTATTTATTTAAATCATGTGAGATGGAGGTTAACTTCCACGGCAGCGTGTTAAGTGTTGCTCTAAACACTTGGACACAGGAACTGTGGTGCTCGGATGAGAAAGGGAAAGGCTATTGGATTATAAACCTTTTCTCCAACGTCAACAGTCTACCATGTGATCCCTGATAAAAGTCCTCTGCCTTGACGTGCATGACAAAAACACAGATGCCCGTCTTTTCCCCCTCTCCTCCTCTTTGTCTTGTTCTGATTGAACCCTTTGGTTATGATGTTTCCAGAACAAAACCTTGGGAAGAACATTTTGTTTGAGTTGAGGAACTGACTGCTGCTGTAGATTTCTTTGGGTGTCCTGGGCAGCTATCTAAAAGAGTCACAGAATCCCTTCTGAACTTCTCTCCCAAATATTTCAGGTCATTCTCTCCACTTACAGCATCTTTTCAAACACCTTTCTTTTATCAGTTTATACTTTTGAGTGAACTATATGATGCCCTAGTGAATGAATTACTTCCTAATCCATTTTCTCTTGTTTGCATGTCCTAGATGATGACATATAGCTACTTTATTTTCAGTCTTCTTAAAATATCCCTATGCTCTCTGTTTCTAGGACTGGTGTTTCATCCCATGTGAAAATCAAGAAACCAAATGAAGATTTTTCGGTGCAAGATGCAGTACTGGATGTTACCAGTTTTTTTGGCAATTGGTTACTTTAGTGTCATTGTCCAGGGTCAAGGTAATGAAAAACTTAAAGATATTTCATTAGGGTCTGCGGCTCTAGTAGTCTTGGTTCTGATTAGTGTTTTACTTATTTATTTTATTTACCTGAATAGTGCTTCAACTGTGTTTGTAGGCAGGGTTATATGTTGGTTTTTACTCAATATTACCAATTATTTACATTGTAGAAATGTGCCGCAACTTTGATGAGGGTGACGACCTCACCAGTGACTGAGCATAGTAATTTTGTGGCAGTTGGTTAAACAGCTCATTCTTAACTTGTTTCTTTTCAGTCTGTGCAAATTTAATGAGTAACACAAATTTGCATGTTATAAAATCAATTCTGTTAACAAGGGGCTGTAATGTGTGTGTATCCCAATCGTGCATTTGTTTCTTAGAGTGTCTACAAAATATTCCTACCACTTCATACCTGGTCCTGAATTTTGCTCCTTTTTAAAAAACTGAGCACATAGTCTAAAAGTTACTAAGGGTCTAACAGAGGCTGCTGATAGGCCATTTAAAAAAAATACTCACCGAGGATATTTCCATTGCTTTTCAGAGAGAGTGGAAGGGAGAAAGAGAAAGGAGGGGGGGGAGAGGGAACGAGAGAGGAACATTAATGTGAGAGAGACACGTCAATTGGTTGCCTCCTACACAAGCTCCAGCCAGAGCCAGGGATCAAGCCTGCAACTGAGGTACATGCCTTTGGCTGGAATCGAACCCAGGACGCTTGATTTTAGCCCAGTGAGACCCATTTCAGGCTTTTGTCCCCCAGGACTGTAAGATAATACATTTTTGTTGTTTTCAGCTACTTTGCGGTAATTTGTTACAGCAGCAATAGGGAACTAATACAGTCAGTGTTAAAGGCATATGGGAAATTAACACTCCCCTCTTAAATCGCTAGTGAACAGATAATGCTTTCCCACTAGTGTGTCCAGGTGAGTCTTTATGAATTACTTTCTCTCTCCACAGAGTGTGAGCCCACATTGGCTCAAATAACTGTTTACACCTGGCTTAGTTCAGCATCTTCTTTTCAAGACAAGTTGTTAAATGAGCTGGAACACAGAAAAAGTAATGTGTTGGCTGCAGGGGCAGAATGTGTATAGTATGACAGAGTGGTGGCACCAGAACTTTCTCAGAATTTCACAGTAAATCTGTACTTGGTCCCAGCAATGTTTGTTTTGGGTGGTTACAAGAAGGAACCACTGAAGGTAAAGTAACTGTCATTTAAAAACCTCAAAGCATATAAAGTTGGAGACTTTGCATCAGGGCTAGATTTAACTTTATAAAGACCTCTGTGTTAACATATTTACACATGTTATTTGCTGTTATTAGTAGTCAAACATGTTTGGAAGTTGAGAATATTTTCCTTACTTCTGTTTTCGGCATCTTTATAATGGATCATGAAATTATAACATATTAGGCTCTCAGCAAGATAAAAAGAACCCTCTAGCATATCCCACAGTAAATTTCCCTCAAATTTTAATTTCTTCTATTTATAGAGCGTTTGGGCAATGCATGTAATTGAAAAATGACTGAGATTTTAAAAAAAACTAAGGTGTTTGTTGTTGTTGTTTGTTTGAGGTTGTTTTTAGATCACTTGGAAAAGTTAGCCAAATAATTCTCTGCTGCTTAAAGGTCTTTTACTTAATAAATATAATGTTGTTCCATCGACACAGCACCCTACACTATGTTTTGAAGGGGAAAACACTCTCAGTGCCCATACTGCTCCATCTCTATCAGTCAGAGATTTTTGGTGCCAAATAAAAGAAACTCATTCTGGCCAATTTAAGCAAAACATGTATTTACTGTAGGTAATGAAGTAGCTCATAAAATTAAAGTTAAATAATTAAGCTTTGAAAAGGGTAGGATTTTGGGAACATCCTGGATGTAGTTTCTAGAAGTAGTGACCTTTTTTTTTTAGGGCATGTCTTTGGAATGAAATGACTGGACCGATTTTCCATCCTGCCATCATTGGACAGATTCTTGGGAGAGTCAGCCGGACCTCCTACCCCTGAGCCAGGGGAGGATGGTTGATTGATAGCACAGCCAAGGCCCCGTGCAGTGGAAAGGGAGTGTTGTTTTTTGGAAGAAAACCAAGGTGCTGCTAGAGAAAGAAGAGGGGAGGTGGGTGTGGGGAGTGGAGAACAGAGGATTTCCATTTCAGTGTTCCTGTGTGAAAAGTGGTGTTTCAAGAAACAATGAGAATATTTCATTGGAAGCAAACCTTTGCATAGGTTGTCACTTGTCAAAAGAGCAAGATTTCAGTTGAGTTTAGTTAACGTTAAAGAAAGGAAGGAAGAAGGAAGGAAAGAGGAAAGGGAGATAAGAAGGAAGGAAGGAGGGAAGGGTAGAGAAAATTAGCCTTTTAATGAACAGACATATTATGAAATAAAATTTCCAAAGTACCTGATAACAGTGAAACTGCAATGGAATCGCATAAATGTTCCTTTTCTGCCCACAGGATTTGATTTCTATGAGAATTATTGCAGTGAAATTCTTGGGGTTTAAAGAAAACCTTCCCTCTTAAAAATACAACACAATGGAACAAAAATACCCCATATTTTACAGTAACAAGCCTACTTCTAGAGGAGGAGATGCCCAGTGGGCCTTCCTTGGTCTTCCTCCTCAATCCCCTTTGGGATGAAGTGCACATATTCACAAATGTTGTATTTGGCCCAATCCCACATAGGAAGTCTGGCTTCACCATACAAAGAATGAGTTTGTTAGCTTGCTCTTGGTTCTTGGTGTGGGTCAGACATCGAGCTTTACACTTGATTTTTGTCTTTTTAAAAAGCTTAGGCGTTTAACTGACACAAATCAACTTTTGAGTCAAGTTCATGCAAGCATTCACAATTATTACTGGAATTAAGTATCTGTATAGGAGCTTTGTGCTCACAAAAAGAAAAACCATGGGTCTGGTATTAAATATTCACAAGTTTTTGTTCCATGAGATAAGAACAATGATTTCTCCAGTGCACTTACAGTGTTTCTGCCAGTCTTGCTGCCCCGGCTTTGGCACAGGCCCCGGTGCCCCTCGTATAGAGAAAAAGGAGCTAACTGTGAAGTTCATAACTGTGACCTTATGCCTCTTTCTTTCTTAACTAGCATTTCTTCTTTCCAGTGCTTTCCCCCCAAAGGCAAAAACCTAAAGGAAATGTGAACTTTTTGTCTAAGATTTTCTTTTAATGATCGTGAGAGCATTTATGCTTATGTAGGCAATCGATGTGGCCCATTGATAAAAGAAAATGGTGTATTGCTATTTGCTAGCAGTTGTAATGGGACTGTAGGCACACGAATCATTTGTAAATTGTTTAAAGAGTTGAATATTGATGTGTTTGGATATTGATGAAGCACTTGCTTCCTAATCCATTCCCTGGAGTAGCTCAGTGGAAGCCAGTGCCACTCTGGGGTCCGGAGCGCCGTCCGTGTGGTCTGAGGTGCCCCTGCTGTCAGGGCATGGCCGGTGTTATCCGCATTAAGCCCTCATAGGTTCAGAAGGTTAGCTATAGACTCTAAACTGCAGGCTGTAAGCTCAGAGCACATTTAAAGAACAGCAGCCTCGGTAGAAAATGCTCTAAAGATTTCTAATCTTTAACCTAGGAATCCTGAATGGTGTTAACTTCTTTGCCCTCCTTGGGATGTCAACACACCTGGGGTGCTGACAGAATTGGTTGACCCTCTTGGAACTGCCTGGACTGAAGCCTCCATTCTGCTACTTGTCCTTTCCCACTTGACGGTTCCCAGGCACACCAGCTTTCTTTCATCAGTGCATTCATGCAAAACTTTGCAATAAGCTTGGCCAATGATGTCTGTCGGCCCACTGAGATTTGGCTCAGAAACTGGATATGTCGGTTAAATTTTTAAAATTCTTACTTTTAATTTTCTTCCATAAGTAATAAAACCTATCTATAAGTAGATTTCTCTCCCCAAGTTTCAGACTAAGCAAAATAATAATGGTTTCCCCGTTCATCCAAATGTGTGAGTTAGCCACCTTCCTCTTCTATTTCAAAGTCATTGTCCTTATGATGAATCTATGTTTTCCCATAATCCAGAGAAGTGTAAACTCTTCCATTCGTGTCAAATTGAGAATGGGTAGCTAATGTTTTTGTTTTGCATGGCCAGCATTCTCTCCTGACAGGTCATAAAGGGCAATGAGAAAGAGAAAGCTCCTCTTAAGGTTGTGCGCTTCAGTGCTTACTGCTTTCAGATGAGTGGATCGTTTGTAGGGGAGTAAATTACTCCTTAATCTAGTTCAGTGAAGGATGACTTCTTAATACGGATGTCCTCCCAAAGAAGCAGCATTTTGTCTGTGGTCAGAGATGATCATTCACCAGTATGTGAACCTGGGCAAGTCTCTTAGCTTCTCCTTGGTTTCTTTATACATAAAATTGAGATAGCAATGAATTTTTGTGAGGATTAAACAAACTTCTGAGATTACCCATCAGATGAGATAAGAGGGAAGGGGAGCCAACATGTATTGATCATCTATTCTAATGTGTTATATCCATTACGCTGTTTAATGTCATCTATCATGGGCAGAAAGTATTGCTGTCGCCTTAAAAAGAAACAAGGCTTTGGGAGAAACAGTCACTTGCTCAAGGTCATTTATCTAATGAGTGACAGACTGGAAATCAAACCAATATTCAAACTACATATGTGCTATCAGAGGGGAGTGGGTAGGGGCTGGGTGGAAAAGGTGAAGGGATTAAGCAGAACCCCCCAAAATTCATAAACACAGACAACAGTGTGGTGATCATCAGAGGGAAAGGGGGTGGGGGAGGTAGAAGAAGGTAAAGGGGGGATGAATGGTGATGGAAGGAGACTTGATTTGACTTGGGGTGGTGAACACACAATACAATATACGGATGTTGTAATATAGAATTGTACACCTGAAACCTATATAACTTTATTAACCAATGTCACCCCAATAAATTCAATAAAAAAGAAGAACGTTTGCTTCCTTTCCCCACACTCTGTTTCCTAAGGTGAGAAAGAAGGGCTGGGCATAAAAGTGGGTAATTAGGGCATTAGCCTTTTTATTGGACAAACTAATTTAGATATTATATAATTTCTTTTGAAAGTCTGTAACATTGATATAGAGTTTCAAAAATATGTTTTGAAGTTTGAATGAGTTACACAAAGAGTAATAACAGATTTACCCATTTTCTGAACTCTCAGAACAAATGAAATATACGGGGATGCTTCATGACCATGTGCTATGTATCGTTCTGAAAGGTAGAAATAAGCTACACTTGAAGAATAAATAGAAGTTTATAAAATGTAATTATTTTGTATTTGGCCTTTTTAATTTTGGTTCTTTACAATCTTTTTCTTAAGTGTTTTTAAACAAAGATCTTTTAACTATAATATGTCCATAATAGTCTTCTTAAATGATCTTATTATAATGAATATTGGATTATTGTAGTGAAAAACCTAAAGGCATAAAACAGGTCCTACTAGAGTTGACTGTCACAGGTCACATGTTCCAAGAAGAAAAATTCATCCTTGTAACATAATGAAAGCATTTTGCAAGATTGGCTTCTAATTTTTAAACTAGATTAGAGTATTAAATTCTAACCCTAAGTCATAGTTCTTTGTCATAAGGTCTGTACTGTTTGAGAAATGCTTATCTCAAGATGAAGAAACAAATCTCTTAGGTTTATGTTATTTTGCAAACTGATTAATTCATTAATTGGATTGTCGAAAGAGCACATTTTGAGGCTGAAGAAATCTTGGGTATTTTGAATACATTATGTTGATTTTTTTATTTAGCTTAAATGGTAGGTTAAATGTTTCAGCCATTTTTTGTTTTTCCTTTTCAGTGGCTCCACCCACACGGTTAAGATATAATGTGTTATCTCATGATAGTATACAGATTTCATGGAAGGCTCCAAGAGGGAAATTTGGTGGATACAAACTTCTTGTGTCTCCAGCTTCAGGTAAAAACCATTAACTGTATTTTCTAGAGTATAGCAATGTTTACACATAGGTAACTAAAAATGTGTAGTGCTAAATGTTGCTTTAAAATCATCTGGAAGTTTTTTTTTTTTATTAATGTAATATTTGAACTTGATATCTTACATTCTAATTAAGGAAATAATGTTCCCAAAGTATAAAGAATGACCATTGAGTTCACCGTAATTCTCCTCGGGCAAAATTTCCAGGCTATCAAAAATTCTTACTACATATGTTTCAACATAGGGTGAGTACTTTTGGTCTAAGGACACTTAAAAAAATACCATATATCTGGATGGCCAACAGTGGTGACTGGCTGAGTACATTATGATTCATTAACCTGATAGAATATTATTCAGCAATTATAAATTAAAATTATATAAGCCTAGTAGATATTGTAAAAATAAGTGATAAATTAAAGCAGGAGAAGCAAAGTTAAACAAATTTATTGATCAGGAAGATAAAGTAGTTATGTAAAAAAAGTTGCTCGTTAGTATCTCTAGTACCATTAGCTCTCATTTCTTCTAGGATCCATTTTCACATAGTACATAATATGTACTTAATAATAACACATTTGTATAATATACATGTATATTTATATAAATACTTTTTTTCTTTACTGATGATAAAGATGGTTGTATGGAGGTGGACTCCTTTTCCGTTGGAGACCTTTCCCCAACTCATTTAGTCAGGCAGACAGATGGTCTATTGTTCTAAGTGAGGACCTCTTACCTAATAACAGATTTAAAATCTCAAACACAACAAGCGGATAGAACACCTGGCTTCTTGCTCTGTCACTAAAAAGGAACCTTCTTTTATTAGCAAATATTATACATAGGTTTCTTGGAATGACTTCTGGTTTAGTGCTACCAGATGCCAGCTTTCCCTGTGTTGGCTGACAGAAGTGACTCACTTGTAGAAAGCAATATTTTATTCTCAAACTTTGTTTGGTTCAGAGTTTTCATTTTGGAACATGGCCCAATTTTGAAATAACTCTGACTTTTAAAAATATAGTTTGTTTTCTAAAATAAGCCATTCTGGGAAATGTCAGTTTAAGAGATTCTTGAACATTAGTATGATTCTAAAGGTCAAAATATAAATTGCTAATATGTGGTACAGCTGAGAACTTCCCATGTCAGATCTCGAAAGGTGAATTTTTCTTCCAGGTGATGAATGTGTCAACTTTTCCTCATTAATTGCTGATAATACCAAACTATGAAGTGCCCCCATGCAGGTGCCATTGAGGAGTCAGACATTTCCAACTCTTGTTCACACACCTCCAGTAACAAAATAATAATTGAGGGCTAAAGCAAATTATTCCTTCATAAATACTGGGTTTATTTTCCTCAGTGACCTAATGTCCTTCATGCAGCGGCCCAAGCGAATAAGACAGTCTTGACACTCTGGTATCTGCTTCATCAAACATAAAATAAATTGAGTAAATAAAAAGAGTAGTAAGTATATCTAGTCATAATGGGTTTTGTAGATGTTTAGCACTACAAGATATGTTTCAAGTATTGTTTATATCAATTTTTCGTAAAGCATATTTCATGGTATCCTGTAGGAGGCTAATAGCTGTTATACAACCAAATAGTTTAATGGTCAAATAAATTTGAGAAGTGCTATTTTAAACAGAGTTTAAAGCTTATTTATTGCAGGATTCGCAAAGCCTTTAAAATAATACACTGCATGCCTCTCAGAGAGGGATTCTTCTATGAAGTTTTCTAAGATATTTTTTTTGTCCTAGATGGGTTTTAATTGATAGAAGTTCGTGAAGCCAGTTTTAACATCTTGGACACAAATGCATTTAAGGAAATGGATTTTGGCAAGAGAAACACTCCATTCTGCCTTCTTATAGCAGGAGGCATGGATGATGATAGCATCACATTTCAGACTTAATGTCATTAATTTTTATTACAATGTTATTAAAATGTATTATAATCTGTGTTATGTTTTATTAAACCAGAGAATTTCAGGCCCTTTGTGCTGTTACTTTTAGAAGTGCACATGCTTTAAATCAATTTCCCTTTTCTCAGACATAGTAAACACTCCAGAAATTAGAGAAGAAAGGTATATTTGAGATTTTGTATAGAAGACTGAGTATTTAATCCATAGCATTTTAAAGGAAAGCCTTAGATGTCAATCTAATTTGATGGAGAGATAATGAGGGTTTGGAATCTTTTCATGAACCAGGCTAACTTTTAAGTAGCCAGGTAATGAGTGGTTCCTTCAACATCCTGAGCCAGTGATGCTCAGATTTAAGATAATTAAATTGCTAGAGCTTCAAGGATGCTTTGACCCGCTTTAGAAAGGCCACAGAAAAAGTTCCAGCATAGATAATTGCATTCAGTCTGCCCATGTCTTTCCTTTCACTTTTAAATGAAATTCTTTCCTTGAGGAGTATATCTGATGTTGATGGCTTCCTGTCCTCTGATCTGGTACTATTGTTTTTCCTATGGTAAAAAAGTAATCGAGTGTTATGATGAAAGATTTTTGTGAATGTGTTTTTATCTAATTTAGACAACCAACAACTTTGTTTAAGTTTTCTAATGCAAAGAGTACAACTGAACATGAAAAGTATATTAAAATTAAGTGCTATGCACATACATACCATAATATATAATTTTAAATGTCTTCCCCTTTTAAAATCTTGATTGCTGGTTAGTAAAATCTCTTAATGTACACAGTTCACCTACTTTTTAGAACTGACTTATCTTTCTGTTTTATTATAGGTGGAAAAACCAATCAATTGAATCTCCAGAACACTGCGACAAAAGCAATTATTCAAGGTCTTATGCCAGACCAGAATTACACCGTTCAACTTATTGCTTATAATAAAGACAAAGAAAGCAAGCCAGCCCAAGGTCAATTCAGAAGTACGTATTTACAGGTCTTAAGGTGCTGCCATGGGACCTGTCCCAGCTGTGTGAGTTTGAGTCTGTGGTAAATATTGGAACAGGCTAAAATTCTAAATTGTTTAGGTTTGAAGAGATCTTAAAAGACATTTAGTATAATGCTCCATGAGCTCCTTCTATCATTAATACTCTTCTTCTGCCTCTTGCTCCACCTGTTTCACTACCCTTTAAGTTTTAGTTTTCAAATGCTATTCCTGACACTGCTGAACCTTCCCCAGACATCTTATCTATCCAGCATGTAATAGGTGCTCAATACATACTTAACGAATGACTGAATGGATGGTGCCTCTGCCTCCTCTATGGTATTCCTAGTAAGTGCCAGTCCAGCCTGTATAAAACCAACCTATACAACAAGGAGTTTAACTCTTTCCAATAGCGAATCAGTTGACATTTATGTTGGCTAGGTCCCATGATCAACAGATTTGTGAACAAATGCAACATGGTAAATATTAGAGAAAGAGACAAACTTAGGACTCTGTGAGGGGATGTTCTCTCTCTGCCCCAGTAATGGGCTGGGAAGAGAGTGGATAGGGAATGGCTTCGTATTTGAACTACTTCTCAAGTAGTCAGTTGTGCAAACAAAGAAAGGGTGGGGCGTGCAGAGAAATTCTAAGCAGGGCAGAAAGCGCTCAGGCAGCCCAATCCGTGTCTGCACCATTTCATTAGAAATTGAGTTTAAAACTTGTTCACATGGGCCCTGATTCTTCTGCCTTTCAGGAGATATTCATTCATTCATTCATTCATTCATTCATTTTTTTTAAATAAAAAAAGATATTGCTTGTCTACTAAGTGTCAGACCCTATTCTGGGCATTGGGACATGATAAATCCCTGTCCCCATGGACCTTATATTCTAGTCACTAGAGACTATATCAACTTCTTCTTGGAGGTGGCCTTTCAAATGTGGAGGGCACAGCTCTGTGTATCATGAATGCAAACGGGAGAGGCCCTTCCTGCTTAACTTTTTGTGTTCCTTCATTGTTAAGATAGACTCTTCAAAGCATCCGCCTTATAATTAAGGACAATTTTAAACATAATAAAAAATGAGCAGAATAGTACAATGAACCCCTAAGTATCCATCACTGACTTCAACAATTAGCCATTCGTGGCTAGTCTTGTTTCATCTCTTACCCCACCCCCCATACTATTTTGAAGCAAATCCTAGACATTTCACGTAACAATAGCTTTTTAAATCTTGCCACTGGGATTAAATCCACAAATGGGAGGCTGTGGGTTCTAGAACTGTGTGTGCAGCAGGGTTTATCTGGATTTCCAATCTCTCCCTCTCTTTTTTTCTTCCTCTTCTAAGTAATGTTTTATGAGACCTATTTTGTGACTTTTTTAAAAATTAAAAAAAACTCCACAACTTTGTTAACCTGCTACCTCTTGAAATTTGTGAACAAAGATGTTTGGTAAATCTGTCAGCAGGACATACAAATGTTTTAAATGTTGCATTCTTTTGAGATTTGCATTGTCTGGAAGCCCAGGGAAAGGTTTTTAATGTTATTTTCAATATAAAACAGCTTTCTGTCTCAGTTTATTGCCACTGTGCTTCAGTTGCTGGCCTCTGACATTCCTACATGAACAAGCAAAATAACTTTAGTTTGTGAGACGCAGTAAAAGGGACAAGGGGAAATGATTATTTTACAATAGTCTGAAGGTATTGTGATTACTGATTTCGCATATTCCACTGACCGGGCAGCTTAAGAAACACAGGTGGCCTTTAGAAGGTTTCCCAGTAGCTATTTACTCTAAACACTTAAGAGAACTTGCCTTTGTTTTCAGCTCCGGTAGCTCTGCTGAAATTATCTTAGTGAAACAACCTAACTGGTTAGTTGGGTAAATTATATGTAAGCTTATATTTTTTAGCTATGCTGTTTTTATTGGCAGGGTAGAGAGATTAGCTCTACCCCAAGAACAGTTTGTAAGAATGAGATTACAGTAACTTTGTTTGGATGGCTTTTTCCCCATTTTGCATTTCAGTTACATTTTTGCTCCCTCTGAAATGGAGCTAAAGCCTGGTCTCCCTTCCCTGGAAAATTTTCATGGGTGGATCCAGGAAAATATGATCCAGACAACTCCTGTAAATACAGATTTGGAATTGTGTAGGGAATTTAATTCTTCAGAAGTCCATCTTATGAGACAGGGAAGCCCAAGAAACAGTCTTTGTGTTTTGAAGACAAAAGCCGTGTCTGGTGCGTGCATTTGACCAAGCAACTCAACCTTGTCTAGCCTCAGTGACCTCATCTGCAAATGGGGGTGATGACATGTACGTATTATTGTGTGGATTAGCTCGTTTCAGCACATAGGAAGGGGCACGGTAGCTAGTGTTAGGATTAATGCCACTTTGCTTTGACAGTGTGTCTTCTACTGATTCTCCCCCTGCGTGAGGGAGAATGCAGTTTCCTGTGACATACGTGTTACATCTTATATGTGACCTAGTGGCCCGATTCAAGATGACTGTTATTTTTTCTCCTTCATTTGTTGACTGGTTGATGGCCCTATTCTATTTATTTATTTATTTATTTATTTATTTATTTATTTATTTATTTATAATATATCTTTATTGATTTAAGAGAGAGAGAAACATCAATGATGAGAGAGTCATTGATCAAGCCCTCAACCTGGGCATGTGCCCTGACCGGGAATCGAACCCTGATCGCCTAGATCCTAGGTCGATGCTCAACTGCTGAGCCACGCCCGGCCGGGCGATGGCCCTATTTTAGCAAACTTTCTTTTCAGCCACCATTTGCCTCTTCGGAATGACATTTTGCTTAGCTCTCCCTGCAGAATCGGCTCATCTTTCAAAGTCTGCCTCAAATGTCATTTTCCCGGTGATGTTTCCCAAGTCCCTGCAATTATTCTTTCTCAGATCTATTTCTACTTTTAGCACTGCTCAGCATAATTTTCTTATATTAAAGTTGACTTTTTTTTTTCCCCCCACACATGTAAGCAATCTGAGGCCATGGCCTATATGTGGGTGGGATTGAAGATGTAGATTTGGAAATTACCCAAGGAAGGGTGAGAATTAAACTTGTGAGATAATAAAATTATAGGTGGGGCATACAGAGATGCAAGGCAGATTTAGTATATCATGCTTTAGGAATGGAAGCAGAAAAAGGACCCAAAGAATGAGACTGTTAAGGAGGGGTCACAGGAATACAAGAAACCCAGGATAATGTCTTTGTAAAACCTGAGGAAAAAGAGAATTTAAAGAAGGGGGTGTTCCATATGACCCAGCAGTTCCACATCTGGGTATCTGATCAAAGTAATTTCTTAAGTGTTTTCTACACCTTCTCATGACACGGGTGCAAAGAATAGCACTTCCAGCCTTTGGGACTGAGATTCTATCACGGAGCTAATTTCTACTTAGTACTCTCAGTACTTGCAAGGGTTTTAGAAAAACTCACTGATTATTTTTTTTAGACTTTAACATAACATGCTGCTGTACTTCTACTTTTCTTCCAGTTAAAGATTTGGAAAAAAGAAAGGATCCAAAACCCAGAGTCAAGGTGGACAAAGTAAATGGGAATAAACCATCTGTACCAGAAGGTCAGTTTTTTTTAATTTGCTTATTTTGGGGGTTGAGTTGTTTTAGTAACACAGGCAATGCACACATATGTGGCTGTTGATCCCATCAGAAGATGGGATCTAATGTGAAAATCTTCCTCAGCCCTGTTTCACCCCTCCTTCCTTCCTCACACATCGTAACTGTCAACACTTCCCTTACTTTCCCGTATTCAACACACCACCAAGTTCTAGTGAATTTATTTTCTGTTGAAATACTGACACAATCTGTTCATTTCTTTCTGTGTCTATTGCCAGTACTCAGCTAAGGTTCCATTTCTTTCTTGGATACTATATATATATATATATACATATATAAGCAAAATCTCAATGGGTTCTCTACTTAGAAATTAGAGCAATCTTTTAAAAATAAATCTGACCTTATTTTCTCCCTATACACATCTTAAAACCCCTTCAATAGCTTCCTACTGCTCTTAGAATAGAGGCGGTATCCTTAGCAAGACCTCCAAGGCCCTGCGATGTCTGCTAACAAACCTGCCTTCCTCTCCTTCGTCATCTAACAACTCAATGCTTTTTACCCACTGGCCGTCTCTCAAATTCTTTAAAGACCGTGGACTCTCCCATACAAGTCATAGCACCTGCCATACCTTCTGCATGGAACACCCCCCACATCACCACTCTGCTTAAATACAGTTTTTCCCTTTCAAAGCTCAGTTCAGTCATTATTTTTTCCTAAATATTTCCTAACCTTTCTCCTCTATTACAGGCCCTCATACAACAACTAACTCTTCTATGAATATACAAACATAGGTACAGTCTGCCGTTTGCATTTCTTGTTCTGTACATCACTTCGTCATTTTCGGAACTTTCTATGTTATTGCACAGAGGAGAGACCGTAGCCTAGTTGTAAACTGCATGAGCATTGCATTTGCCTGCCCAAATTCAAAAGCCTGCCTTTCCTACTTTTAAGCTTGGTTTTCATTTGTGGTGCTTGTTTCCTTGTTTGATGTGTCACTTTGGTTTGTGAGCTCATTTGTGGAATTCTTTAAAGCGTGGTTTAGGAGTGTGCCTCTCTAGAGAGGTGGGCTTTGGTTGGTACCAAATTAGAATCATTTTGTGTTAATTTTTTTGTCTTGGGACATTCAGAGCTGGTCCATAGTAACAAATTCATAGGAGAGACAATTTTCTCCCATATGGAACTTAGTATAATACAAATACTTCCTTTGTTGTCCCTCTTGCTAGAAAGCAGGTATTTTCCTAAGATCATTTTACTAAGAGCATAGCCTTGATGTGAGGCATTATAATTTATATTTTTAGGAATTCAAACAAAACCTGAGACAGAATTAGTCATTCAGAAAATAATCACTGGAACACTTGCAAAGTGCATTTTACCTGTGAGTAAAATTCTGAGATTTCCCTGAGGGCAAGGGGATGGGATTCTCTTAGCAATAGACCTCCAATTTTCTCTTGCCCCCCAACCCCATCTCTCTTGGTAAGACAGTTTTCAAAGATTTTGACACCTTTTTTCTGTTGACCTCCAGCTAATTTTATTATTCTTAAACTGTGGCTTCTCTGGTGGTAAGAAATCATAGCTCTGCCTTAGAGACGTTTTCATTTTTAAAAGAACTTGTAGATATCTTTTTTTCTTTTTAATCAGACACTTCTCAGCTATGAACATTGCTATAGATTTTGGCAGAGTCTGTCCCCCTTAGGTATGCTTGGGCTTGTCTGACGGATACCTTTTTTCTTGTCTAAGAATTTTCTGTTAAACATCTTGTTTCTATACCTGCAGGGCTGTTGGTGTCAAATTGAGCAGGTGTTTCAGCCTTCGAAATGGCGCAATGTCAGGATCTGTTTGTTGTTAATAAATTGAAGTAACAGGGATGATTGAGTGGTTGTATTTTTCAGAAAATCACCTTGAACAACCAAGGTAAACATATAGTCAAATCATGTAGTACTTCATACAGAGCTGAAAATAATTGTGAATGTAGTACACTGGCTCCTGGGGAGAGGGTGTTTTAGTTTTAAGTAGTGATGGTTAGGCCAAGTACCCTCTCTTGGGTTAGTATTAATTTATGATAAACAGGAAATAACCAGAGAATTGTACAAATAAAATTTTAGAGCAAGCTTTATATAAAAGTATTTTAAAAGGACCATATCTTTTCAAAGGAAGTAAAACCCGTTTTGGGTATCTTCCATTGTGGTAGGTAGAGTTTGGAGTGGATAGATAGGAAGAGATGGTAAAGGGGGTGGGGCTAAGAATGGAGTCAAAAGTCTCAGAGATGAGAATGTTGTTTGGAGGAAGAAGAGGAATTGCATTATGATGAAGTGAGAAATAACTATGGACAGGTCAAGTGGAGCTGAGTTACGGAGAGCTTTGAAGAGCACAGTGAATAGTTTAGGCTTAACTTGGTAGGTGGGGGAGGGAAGAAATAATCTTAAAATTTAGAGCTGGAAGGTACTTTGAGAGTCATGTAGTTCAAGCATTTGGGAAGATGGTTGAGGCTCTTCAGCCATGCCATCAAGGGTTGTCTGACATCTGCTTTTATTGACAAAGATCTCACTGTTTTCCGAGGCAGTGGTCTGTGGAAATCTCAACTGTTAGAAAGTTCTTTCTTGAATTGAGTTGAAATCTGTCTCTTTGTGGGCATACAGAACACTCCTAATTGCCCTTCTGTATGACAGCCCTTTTAATATTTGAAGACAGCTGTCATGCTCTCTCCAAGTCTCTTGTGGTTTATGAGCAAAGGAGAAATGTGATGTTTACAGGATTGCCAGTTACTGTTGAGATGCAGGGCCGTGAGTGACAGAAATGTTCTTTTGGCTGTGGTTCAGGGACTTGGCATCTCATGCCTGCAAGTTGTCATGGTGTTATTTATTCCAGGTTAGATATTGCAGAAATGAGTATGCCTTTGATTTCAGGCTATGTTTGATTGCAAGGCTTGGCAATGTTTCCTCCCTCCCTCCCCTCCTCCCTCCTTTCCTCCCTCCC